ATATGATTTTTCACTTAATTTTTAATAGTGAATATTGCTAAGCCTAGAGTATAGTTTAGGATGGCAGGAGTAAACACAACTCGAGTTAGAAGTCTAAAATCGCAGATGAATGGTGCTATGGACTTGGACTAGAAATGGTGACATTTATCTGACCCTAAATATATTTCAGATTTAGAGCTGCCATGGTTTGCCATTGGATTGAATTTGAGACTGGAGAGAAAACCAGAAGTCAGGAGAGGTTAAATGAGTTGTTATTTACTGATATAGGAAAGACTGTGAGAGGATTAGATTTTGGATTACAGAAGAGGGCAACCAAGACTTTTAGTATGGATATGTTAAGCTTGAGATATTTATAAGACACAGAGATGAAGATGTCAAACAAGCAATTCAATTTAAAAGATTGAAGCTCAGGGGTGAAGATGGAGCTGAAAAGACATTTGGACATTATTTATATATATATTCACTACAGCCACTAAACTGGAGAGTGGATTAAGGAAAAATAATCTTGAGAACTGAGAAGCTATAATATTTAAAAATTAAGAAGTACAGAGAATATAGAATCAGAAACTGAAAAAACCCTTTACCAATGAGATAAAAAAAAAACCAGAGTGTATGACAGAGAAGCAGCCACAAAAAATTAAACGCTTCAGAAAAGAGGGGCGATTGTCTTTGTCAAGAGGGGTGATTATATTGAAGATAAAGATGGAGAATTGACTATTTGATGTTTCATCATGGACAAGGTCTTGTAAGGGGCTGAATGCATGAGATGGTTGAAACTGACATTATGGAAGAGGTTTAGTTACCAGTAAAAAATGTCCATGTTAAGGTGAAATTATTTTCAAGACATTGGATATGAGAAAGTAGATGGTTGTCTACTGGATGCTAAAAATTCCAAGTTAACAAGAGTAGTGATGAAATGGGGAGGAATGAGGTGCTAAAATATTCAGGGAATAAAAGAGCTGGGATATCCAGGACCCCTGGAATATGAGGAAGTCATGACTATTATGATCTAATGACACTTGCTTCAATGACACATCACATGTTTTGTGGTTGTTCTATGTTTTTTATGGTGGGGGTGGTGTTGGGAGGTGGCTAAATAAGAAGGAAAAATGCTCTGGAAGTAATAATTAGGAGCAAGAAGAGCAACTACCTGACTTCTGGTTCTGTCAAATTAAGAAAGTGGAGATAAATAAGGAACCACCACTAGAGAAAGCTGCTGGTTTACCATTTAAGTAAATGAACTGCCACACAAAAACTTTAGTTCTCTGACTTACTCCATTTTTTCAATAGGTACATTAATACCTAATTTAAGATGATTTGTGAGGGTTGATCGAGATAATACATATAAAAGGTTTATCACATGTCAAGCTCAACACAATCATTAAAAATTGCTAACTTTTAATTAACTCTAAAAATAAAAATATATATATTTCCTGTTGTTAATTAAATATATGCTTATACTGGGAAAGTTTTCCTGACATAAATTTGTAATGATATGCTATCATTTATGCTGTTTTATTAATATTTTGCTTATTTCTCTTTTTAGTACTTTATACATATGTACAAACTGCCTATTCAGGATTAAAGTATATGCAAAGTCCTTTAGAGTTTTGCTCCTATAGAAAATAAAAATGATTTAAATAAATGTTGTTAGAACTATGACTTTATAGACATCATATTCTAATAAATTACATGTATGTTTTTGTCCAATGCTCTCATACTCTGTGAATAGTGTAAGAGCACAGGGCAGTGAATGATTTCAAAATGTTCGAAATGTCTTTTATTAGAATTTTATCCATATTCATTGTTGGAGTATCTGTATGGATTCTGTCAGACAAACAAAGCCAACACCAAACATTGGAGGATATTTTTCATGTACAAATTACATGAATACAGGACTATTGCAAATGATGTAGGGAACCTGAGATGTGATGGTCTTGGAAGGAGGAAACTTGAAGAAATAAACAGTCAGTGACTCATTCAGCTTCAAGCACAAGGTGTGAAACACAGTAATCAAAACAGCATGTTACTGGCATTAAAAACAGACATGTAGATCAATGTAACAGATTGGAGAGCCCAGAAGTAAACCCATACATGTAAAGTCAATTAAGCTATGACAAAGGAGCCAAAAACAGACAACAAATAGCGTTGGGAAAACTAGGCAGCCACAAGCAAAAGAATGGAACTGGACCACTATCTTACACCATACACAAAATCAACTCGAAATGGATTCAAACTTGTTTATAAGACTGGAAACTGTAAAACTCCTAGAAAAAAAGCACAAGCAGTAAACTCCTAGACATTAGTTCAGGCAATTTTTTGGAGTTGACCACAAAAGCAAAAATAAAGACAGAGACTTGTAAAATTTCTCCAAGGCCAAAAGACCAAGAAAGAGGCTGACCACTCCAGCATTACATCAAGAGTTTGTTCAGGGAACTGATACAAAGTCACACATCTTGGGTGGAGACAAGAAGACATGGATATTCTCTGCTCCCCATGGCAGTCACTAAAGAATTACATAGAACAGGGCAGATAGATATGGGGTACTTGTTTTCGATCCCCAGAAATGGCCTGTCCCAGAAACAGACAGGCTGTGGGGCATAGAGGAGAATTCAATCAGACAGTCTCTGAGGGGATGAATGGGGGACAACTGTAAACACAACCAGCTCAAGATGGTCGTATCCTGTTTAATGAGATACAGAGTTGCTTTTCAAAGACAACAGACCAACACTGCAAGTGATGCAGCCAAAGCATGTGCATAGGAAAGAACTTAAACCTCCAGCTGCACCCAGAACCCAAGTCTTGCTCACCACACATACTTGGAACCAAAGGACCAGGACACTGATGCAGGGGCTCTGCCTGCAGAACTCCCCCGGTCACCATGGATGAGAAATAAAAATGCCCAACAAGTGATTTGCTTGGGGAGGAAAGGCGACCAGTCCCTCAAAGGAGAAAGGTCCTAAGCACCTTCTTCCCTGCGTTTTTACTGAGTTCAGCTCATACAGACATACATAGTATGCACATAAAGCTTACCAACCAGTGCTCAAAATGCTACTGACATCATTTACAGATAATAGTTGGAGAAACACAGGGATTGTCTCTAGTCAATGTTGACTTTAGGTCAAGTGTCTATTTCATAGCAACAGGGCAGAGCAAACCTCAAAGGAAACAATGTATATTCATTCTCTGGCCAGATTTGCTCCCAGAGGCGACTGTTCCAGTAGAGGTTTGTAGCTGCCTCTTGGCATCGTTCCCAGGCTGAGTCAGGCAGGGAGGGCAAAGTATCCAAGAGACTAGGAGACTTTTGCAGAAAGACTGAGGACTCAGGCTATGACAAAGCCAAGGGATGAGGGTCTTTCTGCCCCTTCTCTGAAGACCCCTAAGTCCTTCCCTGATGGCCCTTCATGACAGTGTCTGTCTTAGGTTGTCCTTTCCCTTTTGAGGGATCTTACCTGTCATTGGCTAACCTGTCTCCTGCCCAGCATCTGCCTGGACCAAGCAGGGGGAAGTGAGGGAGGCAGGGGCTGCACTCCTACCAGGAGGTAATGTTCTGTCTCCTAGTGGCTCATGTCCCCAAGGCCTTTCACTCATCTCTAGTTGTGGGACAAAGGCCACAGTCCCTGAAACCAGGTGGGATGACTCCCAACAGGATGTAACTGAAAGTTAAATTTCAGAACACTTTCAAAAGCCAAGGGTCCATTGCCCAGGAATATCCAATGTTGATGCTCTTTTACCAAAAATGGCCAAGTTCCAAGGTCCTCAAATTAAAACTTGCCCCACTAAGCACATCTGCATACCACTTTCCCATAATGCCTTAAAAACCCTTAATCCTTAAGCAAGATGGACTTGAGGCAACATTAAATCTGCCATCATCTCAGCACCTTTTTGACCAATAAATCTTTCCTTACTCCAAACTCTGACATTTGGAGTTTTGACTTCAAAGCGTTGGCACATAAACTTGGGTTTTGTAACACAATTTCTGTGCTGGCCTGGAGGACAGTTTAAAATAGAAAAGGAAATGTAAACTATCTTTTACTAACACTGTGCAGTTTCTGAGAAATCAGGGCAAGTACATCTACCAACCAACACCCAGGACATTGTTTTTAGAACTGCCTAGCTCATGAGCTTGCCTCATCATCTTTCAATTTCCTGTAGTGACCTTTTAAAACCCCTTTCATTTTTGGTTTCTATTTCACATTCTAATCCCCTGCTGTCTCTGTGTATAAGATGCACAGGGTAGAAAGAAAAAAGAAATCCCCAGGATTTGGTGAGAAAGAAGTTTATTAGGAACCAACACAACTAAACTGAAGGACAGAGTTAGAACTCTAACAACGTTCTCCTCCTCGAGGCAGCTTTGCTACCAGCTCTAAAAGACATCTGCTGTTGACTTTATAGTTAGGGTAAGATTAGAGCCAGGGTGGGGGAAATGTTTTAAAGGGTCAGGATGTTTTAAAAACTTTTCCATCCAAGATAGGATGCAACTCAGCCTGATATGGAACATCAGAATTAATTAAAAACTAAACTGTGGTACTGCTGGGGAATAGAATTCCTTATGTGCCAGCTCCATTTGCTTACTGCTGAGTTAGACACAAGCGTATGTAGAGACTAACCCAATCACCAGCACTTCGGAACACATAAAAAAAACATTTCCTGGCATTTTCTTTCTTTACACTTTTTTTCTACTTCTACAGCTCTCTCTCTCTATCTTAAGCTAGCAGTCTGCTGATATAAATAGACATTTTTTTATGTACTTCCAGTATTTCAAAAACAGGCTCAGAGTCTTGAGTGAAAAGCAATGCCATACAAATAACCAGTTGCAGGACCATTTCCTCCCTCCCTCCCTCCCTCCCTCCCTTCCTTCCTTCCTTCCTTCCTTCCGTAATTTCTTCAGAAACTTAGGTCATGCTGGAGAGCAGTATGTCCCAGGTTCAGTAAGCAAAAGACTTTTTCTGCTTCAAGACTAGAAGTTCTAGTTTACCCCATGTATTCTCTTGCAGACAAGGTTGCACCCTGGACATGGCCTCAGAGACCCACATGCCGGCCCCAGTGTGTCTCATTGAGAACACTAATGGGAAACTAGCAGTTAATCCGGAAGCTTTGAAAATCCTGTCTGCCATTACCCAGCCTCTTGTCGTGGTGGCCATTGTGGGCCTCTACCGCACAGGTAAATCTTACCTGATGAACAAGCTGGCTGGGAAGAGCAAGGGTGAGTGACACCAGAAAATCCCACACCCAGCATGACTATGGAGATATGAAGAGAGAAAGTTAGGGATGGGGAAGAGTTTTTAAAAGGTAATGTTTGGGCCACAGCTGGCTAATTACCTTCTGGGGTATAAAAGGCAGAGGTCTGTTCCTGAAACATCACCTCTGTTTTTTTTTAACTTAGTATATCATTGGGAAAATCAAAATATTTTCTAATCATAGGGAGTAAGACATCAATAAAATAACATATATAATTATAAACTATGAAAATTTTACTAGCATAGTATACTTGTAAAAGTAACCTATGAAGTTGCCAACCTGTGAGATAGTCTTATTTTGCCATCTTTCTATTGTAGTTGAGGTCAATACTGGTTATACTTTTTTTCCATGTACACATCTTGCTTTCCTTAAACCCTGGCTCAATTGTTAAGAACGTCTCCAACTTCCAGATCCCCTCATCTATTACAACCTCTCCGCTTCCCCTGCAGGCTTCTCTATTGGCTCCACGGTGCAGTCTCACACCAAGGGAATCTGGATGTGGTGTGTGCCTCATCCTGAGAAGGCAGACCACACCCTCGTTCTGCTTGACACTGAGGGACTCGAAGATGTAGAGAAGGTAAGGAACAAAGATTCTTTTCTGATTAACCTTCTCATCTCTTCATATCCTTTATATGGAGAATTTTTTTGTACTTCCACTTGACCAGAGTATATCTTTTTCCACATTTCTATGTTTAATAGGCAAAGTTTGGTAACCTGAAGTAGGCAAAATATATTTAGGAGTCAAAGACATGTTGTGGGAGACTACAAGAATGTGGAGTTAGGCAGTTAACCAAAATGCAGAAAGGTGGCGTAAATAAAATCACTGTCCCAAGTCTGATCCTGCAGAGAATAGTGATTAGCATTGGGCTCTGGGTCTGAGAGATTTGAGTTCAGTAGGGGCTCTGGCACTTGTAGCTCTCTCACATTGACAAACAAAGGTAAGTCTCCCTAAATCTTTGATTTTTCTCTTTGGTCTTATCCATTTCATCGTCTGAAGATACATGAGCTTTTCCCACCTCTATGGTGGTGTTTAACAAACAGCCTGCTGCAGGTAGGGAAGGGGAAAGCCTTGACTTGTAGCACTTGACAGTTTTCTAAATGTTCCCTTCACAGCTTACTTCAAGCTCCCAAAGTGAAGTCGCCAAACTCAGGGTTTGAAATTGATGTACACAGTCAGCTTCTGTGGGCTGGTGTACACTAGCTCTAGCACGGGACTGGATCTTTCTTTTGAACTTCCCCTTTTGTTTAGTTCTTGTTTTGCTTTTGATTTACATATTGGAACATAAATCCAATATGTTCAACCTCAGTCTGTGCCTTTGTTTCCTCATCTGTAACATGGAATAGTAATAAATCTATATCAGAGCATTGTTTTTTAAATATATTTCATTGATTATGCTATTACAGTTGTCCTATTTTCCCCCTTTATTCCCCTCTGCCCTGCCCACCTTCATTCCCCTCCTTTAGTTCATGTCTATGGGTCATACATGTAAGTTCTTTGGCTTCTCCATTTCCTATACTATTCTTAACCTCCTCCTGTCTATTTTGTACCTAACATCTATGCTTCTTATTCCCTATGACCTTTTCCTCCTTTCTCCTCCCCACTGCCCCCGCTGATAACCCTCCATGTGATCTCCATTCCTGTGATTCTGTTCCTGTTCCAGTTGTTTGCTTAGTTTGTTTTTGTTTTTTAGGTTTGGTTTTTGATAGTTGTGAGTTTGTTGTCACTTTATTATCCATATATTTGATCTTCTTTTTCTTAAATAAATCCCTTTAACATTTCATATAATAAGGGCTTGGTGATGGTAAACTCCATTAACTTGACCTTATCTGGGAAGCACTTTATCTGCCCTTCCATTCTAAATGATAGCTTTGCTGGATAGAGTAATTTTGGATGTAGGTCCTTGCCTTTCCTGACTTTGAATACTTCTTTACAGCCCCTTCTTGCATGCAAGGTTTCTTTTGAGAAATCAGCTGACAGTCTTATGGGAACTCCTCTGTAGGTAAATGTCTCCTTTTTCTGCTTTTAAGATTCTCTCCTTATCTTTAATCTTTGGTAATGTAATTATGGTGTGCTTTGGTATGAGCTTCCTTGGGTCCAACTTCTTTGGGACTCTCTAAGCCTCCTGGACTTCCTGAAAGTCTACTGCCTTTGCCAGATTGGGGAGGTTCTCTTTCATTATTTTTTCCAAATAACTTTTTCAGTTTCTTCTCTTCCTCTTCTCCTTCTGGCACCCCTGTGATTCGGATGTTCAAACGTTTAAAGTTGTCCCAGAGGTTTCTAAGCCTCTCCTCATATTTTTGAATTCTTGTTTCTTCATTCTGCTCTTGTTGACTGTTTATTTCTTCCTTCTGGTTCAAACTGTTGATTTGAGTCCCAATCTCTTTCCCTTCACTGTTGGTTCCCTGTATATTTTCCTTTATTTCACTTTTCATAGCCTTCACTTTTTCCTCCATTTTGTGACCCCAGTCAACCAATTCTGTGAGTATCCTGATTACCATTGTTTTGAATTGTGCATCTGATAGGTTGGCTATCTCTTTGTTGCTTAGTTGTATTTTTTCTGGAGCTTTGATCTGTTTTCTCATTTGAGCCATTACTCTTTTTTGTATTGGCTTGCCTGTTACATAGTAAGGGGCAGAGCCTTTGGTATTCACCAGGGCGGAGCAACTCCTGTTGGAGGTTGTAGCGCTGTGTGTGGGGGAGGGGTCTGAGAGAGAACGGTGGCACTAGTTCAGCTCTCCGCAGGCTTTCAGTTACTTTCTCTGTTACCCACAATCAAATTGGGCCCTTCTGGTGCTGATTCCCAGGTGAGTGGGTTTGTGTATGTTCTAGGATGCTGTGGGTCTCTCCAACAGACTCTCCTGTGAGGTTGGGAGTTTCTCCCACCGTGCAACAGGTGTTGTCATTCAGAGGTTTTGAAGCTTTATTTCCCCGCACTTTAACCCTGGGCTGCATGGTTTGTCTTGCTCCCCAGTTGTTCCTCCCTGTTTATCTTCACACAAATGTGGGACCTCCTGGTCTGCCAGATGCCACCTTGCTGAGAGTCCTCTCCATCTGACTGCCCATCTCCACCTCTCCTACCCGTCTGGATGAATGTTTCTTCTTTACTCCTTTGTTGTCAGACTTCCATACAGTTTGATTTTCTGGCAGTTCTGAGTTTGTTTGTTTTTTTTGTTTTTGTTTTTTAAATTTGTTGTTGTCCTTCTTTTGGTTGTGCAAGGAGACACAGTGTGTCTACCTATGCCTCCATCTTGGCCAGAAATCCTCACAGCATAGTTTTGAGTACTAGATAAGATAATGTAAACTGCTCTGTTTACCACAGTAACTTTGCAAATACCTAACTAGTTATAAGAGGGACTGGTGAGTTAACAGTATATGTTCCATAAAAATTATCAATGCTAATGACAGAACTATTCTATTAAAATTTAGGTTTCTTACAATTATTTTTGTTTGTCTCATTTAACATTGTACATCGGGGCTTATTTTTAATGATTATTCATCTGGGAATGCCATGAAATATGAATTCAATTTGTTCTGACTTCTAGGGTGACAAGAACAATGATACTCAGATCTTTGCACTGGCAATACTACTGAGTAGTACCTTTGTTTACAATACCATGAACAAAATTGACCAGACGGCTATCGACCTATTGCAGTATCCTTTTGTGATCCAGGGTGGCACCAAAGCCAGAGAGAACTCTTCTATCCACTAGCTATATTTATAAGTCCTTTGAACCAAACACAAAAATAAAAAATGTGGTAAACATTAAAAGTACAAGGAAATGAGCCCTTATATTTACTGACAAAATGAAGAATTGGTTATAATGAAAAGAGAACATAATAGTGGAAAGATGTATGGTGTTCAATATGGGTTTAGCTACAGTCCTATTTTCACCAATATTCCTTAATTGTATCTCAGTTTTGTAACAGAACTGTCAAATCTGCTGAGAACGCTATCCTCACCTGATCTTAACAGAGTTGAAGATGAAGCTGACTTGGTGAGCTTCTATCCAGACTTAGTGTGGACTCTGAGAGATTTCTACCTATCTCTGGAAGCAGATGGACAAAGCATCACAGCAGATGAGTACCTGGAGAATTCACTGAAGCTGAAGCCAGGTAACAGGGCCTTCAGTTTTGGAGAGAGAGAGAAAAGTAATACAAGAATATCTCTGGGTATAGGTGGCTGCATTTATAGTTTCCTATATTTGCTCACCTGGCTAAACTGCCAAGAAAGTAATTAAACTAATAGACTCAATATCAAATTGTATTACGCCCTGTTCTTGGAACAGACTCCTTCTTTTCTTTCTTTCCCTGATGGGTTACCTTTTAACTTTTTGCTTGGGATTTGTAGAGAGGTATTGAAATAAATAACATCAGTTGGAAGAAAAATTTATTCATGGGAAGTCAATTATAATGAATGCTCTTCCTATAGTAAATAAATCCTATTTTCCTTCCCCAGACACTCATCAAAATCATCAAAATTTCAATTTGCCCCGTTGTTGTATACAGAAATTCTTTCCAATAAAGAAATGCTTCATCTTTGACTCTCCCACTCACCGGAAGAAGCTTGCCCAGCTTGAGACACTACACGATGATGAACTGGATCCTGATTTTGTGCAACAAGTGGCAGATTTCTGTTACTACATCTTTCGCCATTCCAAGACTAAAACTCTTTCAGGAGGCATCAAGGCCAATGGGCCTGGTGGGTACCTTTCTGAGGATTTTCCTTCAACTAAATGTAAAGAAAGGGGGCACTGTTGAAAGTTTCTCTTTTTACTGTCAATGTTGAAAATGCATAGTCTGTTACTACCAAGAAAATCATATAAATCACAGGTATTAAGTTCCAGGTGGTACCAAAAACATTTCTAGGAATTATTTTAGTAGTGCCTCTAAAGTAGAATAAAATAAGAATATAATCTGAAGAAAAGGTTAAGTTAAAGATTTCTATTCATAGGTGGTCTACTGTTGGATTTGAGCAATCCACATGAGTTGGCAACATTTGTTCCTGAAAACATAGAGGATACTTATGTGTCAAAGCCTTTGCTAGGCACGAAAATTAGGACAATGTGTACATTCTCCGCAGAAATGGAACTTACCTGATACAAACATTAAACAAACAGATGGCCAAAACATCTTGGGCCAGTTTTTTTCTAAAGACTCTATGTCTCAACTCTATAAATCATTGCTATACTCTACAGCAACAATTTCCAACCCGTGTGCCTCAAAGAAAATTTTTAAAATATGCAATACTTGACTATTTAGTCAGGGGCACTGACCTGCTTTCCCTTAGATTGTCAAATAATAAAGAAATGACAACAGCCAACACATAGCCATCCAGTGTGAATGGATCAAATTACACCTATTTTTTTGTCAGATCGGCAAAGAATATAATGTATTTTTTGTGTACTGCAGAATTTTAGTAATTAGGTTGTGTGCCATGAGCTGAAAAAGGTTGAAAATTACTTCTCTAGAGGGACAGTAATGCAAACAAAAGTGTGCAAATGTCAAAGAAGACAAAAATGAAAGTTGCAACAAAGAGGAAAGGCAACCTGGTTGGTCTGATCTGCTCACTTTGTGTTTTTTCAGCTAACACTCATATCAGCTTTACAAACTGAAGTGGAAGGGAAAAGGGAATTCTGAAGAAATGAAACCCTGAGGAAGAGGGAAAGAAAGAGTAAACAGGCAAAAGGCCTGTTGCAGTCTAATCAGTGAATATGCACAACTTTAACTATTTCCTCATTTCTCAATAGAAAAAGGATGGCATGAGGATGATCACATACATCCTGAGATTTCTCCTTTCTTTTCCCAAAAAAGGAAAGATTTGGATTCTTGGTCACACAATTTCCCTGCGGGGGGAAAAAAACTTATTTGGGCCACTTGAATACTATGCAGAATAATGAAAAAACTCAGACAATGCATTGTTAAATTAACATTCTCAGAACTACCCAGTTTAGAGCATACCCTCTTTCTCTGCAAATAATGCAACCATCTCTTTCCCCTGTGAAGAACTAGAAAGCCTGGTGCTGACCTTCGTCAGTGCCATCACCAGCGCAAATCTGCCCTGCCTGGAGAACTCAGTGCTGGCCTTGGCCCAAATCAAGAACTCAGCCGCAGTGCAAAAGGCCATTGCCCACTATGACAAGCAGATGGCCCAGAAGGTGCAGCTGCCCACAGAAACCCTCCAGGAGCTGCTGGACCTGCACAGGGCTAGTGAGAAAGAGGCCATTGAAATCTTCATGAAGAATTCCTTCAAGGATGTGGACCAAAAGTTCCAGAAGGAATTAGGGGTAATTCTTTTTTTTTCTCTAGTTCATGGGGATTACAAGGTAAAATATTGCTATGAAATGCAAAATGGGGACTTAATTAAGAAAAGCAATTCTTGCTAAACTGGAAAATAATGACTATCACTAATATAACCAAGATATCATTGTTATTCTGAAAACAAACAAATAAATAAACATAATTATTCTGGGTCCTGTGGATTCTGATACTTTCACACACATACAACTTGTCTTACAAGTTACACCCATAGACTAATTTTTTGATATGTTGTATTCACTTTTATTTTTTTATTTTAATTTTTAACTTAAAAAATTTTATTATTGTTAAAGTACAGTTGTCTCTATTTTCCCCCCAATCGCTGGCCCACCACCCCCAGCCATCCCCACCCCCCCCCCACCCTTGATCCCTACCCACCTATTGGCTTTGTCCATGTGTCCTTTATACATGTTCCTTTTGACCCTTCCTCTTTCCCCCCCCCATTATCCCCCCTCTCACCTCCCCTCTGGTTACTGTCAGTTTGTTCTTAATTCCAGTGTCTCTGGTAATATTTTTCTTGCTTGTTTGTTTTGTTTATCAGGTTCCACTTATAGGTGAGATCATATGGTACTACTTTTTAAAATTAATTTCATTTCTTTAAAAATCATATTTATAAAGTATAAGTTAACTTCCCTTTTATGTTAATCAAGTATACAGAATTGCCAAATGGATCTACTAAGAGATCACGTCTCCAGGTTTAATAGTATATACTCATATCATTTTAGCCAATTATTTGAGTTCAACTCCTGATTGGAATCTGAGGCCCAGTAAAATACTGAAATAAGGAATGATTGTAAATGAGTAGGTTGCATTTAAAATGAGATCATGAGGCTAGAGATCTGTAATCGGAAGATCATATCTAAAGCAGAAAAGCAAGAGAAAGGGGTTTCGGGTGATTTGAAATACAAAACTCATTTTTTTTCTACTCTGTATGATTAACTTTTCTAGGTTTGGTAGGAAGGATATAGTCTTGCTGTAGTTCTCTAGTTTCTAGAAAAAAGATATGGAAATTCTTTCTGAGAATCATTTCTAGGAATACTGAAGTGTTGCTAACATCTTTTCATTGGCCTTTGTCTCTTTGAAGACCCTGCTGAAAGCCAAACAGGATGACTTTTGTAAACAGAACTTGGAGGCATCATCAGACCGTTGCTCAGCTTTACTTCAGAATATTTTTGGTTCTCTAGAAGAAGATGTGAAGCAGGGGATTTATTCAAAGCCAGGGGGGGGCATTGTCTCTTCATGCAGAAGACAGAAGAGCTGAAGGCAAAGTACTATCAGGAGCCCAGGAAAGGAATACAGGTATCCCTAGTTTCATGAATTAATTGGACTGGGGGTAGGGAGGGGGGTCTCTTTCAAAATTCAGTGAAGACAAGAATAAAGTATTTATGCTCTAATGATAGCTGGGGAATTAAACTGAACTATTGCCATAATCAACAGACTTTTACTGCAATGGTCAACATTCATTGCAACATAGGAACTTTTCTGATTACATAAGACAGAATTCCAATAATTGAAACTAACTTAAAAAATAAAAACCAGACAAACTTGTAATTCCCTAGCTCGCATGAAATGTTTAAATTTAGTTACAACTATAGCTGCATTCAGGAATTTAAACTATGTCATCAATTTTCCCCTTCTTTTTTTTCCTTTCTGACTTCCCTTTAGGTTTCTGTTCTGTTTTTCTCACTACTGGTCTTGTTCTCAGGCATGGCAGCAAAATGACACCAACATCACCAAGCTTAACTGGACCTTTTTTCCTCAGCCTGAAAGGAGAGAGAGCATTTTCCCTGGCATCCGCATCAGTCTTTAAAACACCGAAACTTATCATTTCCTCACTTGTACCAACATTCTTAGTATCTAGTGGCCTTGGGTGCTCTGATTGGCCAGCCCAGAGTTTGTGCCCACCCTTATGACAGAAGAGTCTTGACTGACAGTTCCACTAAATGCAGGCTAAGCACTTATTGGAAGGAAAAGATGCTGGGAAGAAAAATAAATAAAAATATTTACAACTCACTTCTAACTGCATGATTTTGGGGTTTCTAGGCTGAAGAAGCTCTGCAAAAATATTTACAGTCCAAGAAGTCTATGAGTGATGCCATTCTGCAGACAGACAAGACTCTCACAGCGAGGGCAAAGGAAATGGAAGGTGAGAAGAAAATGGAAGAGATGCAAGATAGAACTTTCTACACATTTTAGATTAATTTGGCCTGGTTTACCTGGGATCATTAAACTAGAACAAGAACAGCAAAGATGATTTTTAGCTCCTCAGGCTTTATCGGAGTAGGGTGTGTACTGTTAGCTGTGAAGGAGAAATAGCCCCAGGGAATTTTCTCTTTGCAGCAGCAGCAATAGCAAATAAGAGCAGGAGACAGAAGGAAGGGGCTCTTTAATCCTAGAGAGGTTTGTCATTTTCTTCTTTCTCAGAAACACGTTTGAGAGTGAGGGCTGCAGAGGCTGAAGCACAAAGGTTGGAGAAGATTCGAAGGGAGCAGCAGCAAATGATAGAGCAGAGGGAGAGACAGTATCAGGAGCAACTGAGACAAATGGAGATGGAAAGAACCCGCCGTCTGGCTGAGGAACAGAGGGCTTTGGAAAGGAAACTCCAGGTATTCATCCATTATTCCATCTCAGAATTTTAACCGTATCTCCCTTCTCTGTATTGATAAGAACATGAAGCAGTGACAAATAGGGAGAGGCAGCATACTATTCTGGCTCAAGACAAGGACTCTGGAGTCAGACAGGTTGGGTAACAATCCCAGCTCTAATTACATGGTTTGTGCAAGTTATCTGTGCCCTCTATGCCTTAGTTTCCAATTGTGGAAAATGGAGGCAGTAATGACTCCTATTTTATAATGTATTTAATAACTAAATGATTCAGTACTTGTGTTTAGACTGGTGCTGGGCACAGAATAAGCGCTACACTTGTTAAATAAAATCCAAGGATATTTCTAACCCACAGTAATTAGTCTTTTTTTGCTATGTTGTTAATTGCTATAAGCAATCTTTTCCTTTGGTCATAGATTAACTTGTTAAATTAATTTCATATTACTGCATCTAGTCCCCTATCTTTGCCTTGATTTTCACTGGTTCTGAATACTTTTAACTTGCAGAGTTTGTTTCATACATTCCTTTATTAACATCACTCAGTAAGCAGTAGTTCCTATTTACCAAGTACTGTACAAAGTACTTTACACACATTTCCTCACCTATTCTGTTCATTGTGGGGGCAGAACCATTATGTCTCCATTTTTCTGATTAAAAACATTAGGTTCCAAACAGATAGCTAAATGCCAGTATCACATAGCCTAGCAAGTTCTCAAAACTGCCTTCCTAGTGAGTGAGAGCTATAATGCTTTTATTTCTGCAAACCTAGTATGAGATTCTTATGTGAGCACCCTTTTGAGACAAAGTGCACCTCAACTGTCCCCCAGGGTGACCAGTCTACCTGTAGATCCTAGTTTGCCAGGTGATGCTCCAAGACATTTTTATGATTACAGCCCTACACTGAAGGGTAGTAGGATCAACCTGAGGTTCTTGATCTCCTCAGTCTTACCTCTACTTCTTCCCTACAACTATGGAGCCCCGAAACGTATTTCCTGATGTAAAGCTCAGACTCCTCACCTGACTGTGGATGACACCTAGACACCCAGTTGTTGTGTCAGTCTCCCCTCAGAGAACTAGATCTGACATTGCTCTGTGTATAAATGAGAACTGAAGTCAAGATGTGACCCAGAGTCCCCAAAGAGGAAGGGGGAAGGTACCTCTGAATGCAATTCTTGAGACACCAATACTTCAAGAATTGAGAGACAGTGATGTTTCTGCAGCTAGAGAAACAGATGTGGGAGAATTACTCAGATAGGAAACCAGGAAGGAGAGGGTCAAATGAGTATAAGTAGAAAGGAGAATTTAGGAACTGTCTTTTTTTTTAACTGATAACTTTAAAAAGTAAGGAAAATCAATGATTTGGGTTTATCCTCCCCATTCCCCAATAATGTGGATATTACTTTTTGTTCAGCTCTATAGTTTTATTTATTGCTCTTTAGGAAGAGACTGCAAAGCACCAGGAGAGAGTCGAGGCTGAAATGAGACAACTTCAGAACCAACTCCAGCAGCAGCAGTACAATGCCAGCTCACCAGACTGTATCTTACTCTAAAGCTAAATATCAGAACTCCTTTTCATGTTTACCACCACTGAGGACAGGAAACAAGACACTATAAAACTTGGGACAATTCCCGTTTGAATCAATTTTATAATAATTATGTCAAACTTTTATATTTCTATAAAGTTATGGTGCTAATAATTGGTAAAATACATATTTCAATAGTTTAAATAATGGTTACTTCCTTAAAAAGGTTATGAATTAATTGTATAATAAGGGACATATTTGATCACTGCATTTGTTTGGTAGAGATATTGGGCTAGTTGTCTGAGAGAAAACTTTCTCTTATATCCCAACGCCACCCCTCTCATTTTCTCAGGGAGATTGAAAGTGACCTAGGGAGTGTGATTCACAATAGACTAAGTCAAATGGGACTTGACCAAAGTCTTGAGTTCAGGTGGGCATCACTCCTGCCACATTGTCATATGCTGGGTGCCATCTGAAGGTTACCAATGGGAAGAAAATTAACCTCGCTTCTTAGTCGAAACAAGGTACGGTTCTCAACTGGGAGGAAGCTGCTCAGTCTATGGGCAGTGATATCACTACTGATCATGTTCAGTTGAGGGATTGCTTAGGGAGATTCCAAAGTGTAAGCAAATAACAGTATACTGAGGTGAAGGTGCTCCAGAAGATAGAAGGGACTATCAGTATGGAAAATGTGACATAGGCTGAAGGGCTAAAGAAGCCGTTTCCTTTATGTTACCCTCATCAAGGGCATAACCTAAATAGGACATTTTATATCATGAAGAAATTTATACTGGACTTAATAATTCTGTATTGTGTCTTTTATAATCCTTTAGAGCTTATAAATAAATGGTATAAGGAATGCCAGATAATGTGCCAAAATATCCGATGGGTTCAGTTTATTTATACTTGCTTTTAACGCTACAGTTAAATGATCTTAATTCTTTGCACTCATATGTGAAAGCCTACTGATTTTTATTAAAAACTATAAATGGTATACATATATGTTTGTACATATTTTTACCAATAAATAACCATAAAATTGAAATAACTCTATTACTTTGTTTTTATTTTCCCCGATTGTTAAAAGTCAATGAGGAGCCTTCTGAATTTCCCTAAGGAGATTAAGAATTATTTTAAGACTAAAAATAAAACATATTTTCTTACATATTTTATTTGTTTTTTGTTTTATCTCCAATAAAATAGGCTTTATAGAAACATTACACAAAGCTCTATTTTTGTTTTCCTTAAATTGCTTACTTATTTATATAAAGAATTTCCCAGTTGAGTTATATTATAGGAGATAAAACTTATTTAGTTGCTTAAAATATGACTTACATTTTTACAAAAGAAAAACATAAATTTTAATTTCTGTCTTTTTTTTCTGTTCTTTGGAGACCCTTATTATGCTGAACTTCCCATATCAATGGGCTTGGTGAGGTTCAGCTGTACTTCCTGATTTGAACTGTACTTCAGTACACACCAAAGATCAGTGTATTTGTTTGAGAATTTGTTTAACAATACTCTGTAATTGCCTTTGCAACCTGTATAATTCATAAGACACAATAAAGTGCATTGTAATATCCAAGGAAATGTCATAATTGAAAAGATTAATATTGTTTTCATTACTGTCTCTCTTATAGAAATAAGCGAAAACAAAACAAAATTTGAGACTAAGCAAAATTAAGTCACCTATCTCAGGTTCCAACCTTGGTACTGTTAACTTAGACAATTTTACAGATCATCTGACTTCTAGTCCAATATTTCTATTATATCTTCAGGAACAAAATAAAGGCTTTCTCCTTTCTTTAAGAACCTACAGAAGTGCAAGTACCTTTTACCAGTGGTCCACATTCTTTCTGACCAGCACTCCTGCCTCCCACTCATCCCCAAATATTTCAATATCGTATGACTTTTTTAAAGTGGCCATTGGCTTGAAAATGACCAGAAAAGACACATCAAGATGAACATTGACAATTTCTTGAAGCTACCAAAAACTAAACTATATTTTGGACCTTTACAGGGCTTCTTTTGTGAGGTCAACTGATTAAGTTTTTTTGTTTTATTTATTCTTGTTTATTTTATTATAGTTGTCTCAACATTCACCCCTTTGCCCTCCTCCACCCAGCCCACCCCACGCTCCCACAGTCCATCCCCACACCATTGTCCATGTCCATGGGCCATCCACACATGTTCTTTAACTAATCCATTCCCCTTCTTTCCACCATTTCTCCCCTCTCCCATCCCCTCTTGCAGCTGGCAGTCTGTTTCATATTTCCATTGTCTCTAATTTGGTTTTGCTTGTTAGTTTATTTTGTTCATTAGTTTCTTCTTATAAGTGAGATTGTATGGTATTTGTCTTTCATCGACTGGCTTATTTCACTTACCATAATAGTCTTCAGTTTCATCCATAGTGTCACAAAAGGTAGGAATTCCATCTTTCTTTCTGTGCCTAGTATTCCATGGTGTAAATGGACCAGATTTTAAAAATGCATTCATCTACTGATGGTCACTTAGGCTGTTTCCAACTATTGGCTATTGTAAATAGGGCTATGAACATAAGGGTGCATAAGTTCTTTTGAACTGGTGTTTCATGATTCTTAGGGTGTATTCCCAGCAATGAAATCACTGGGTCAAAAAGCAGTTCCATTTTTAGTTTTTTGAGGAAATTCCATACTGTTTCCACAATGGCTGCACCAGCCTGTATTCCCACCAACAGTGCACTAGGGTTCCCTTTTCTCCATATCCTCTCCAGTGCTTGTTTTTTTGTTGGTTTATTAATGATAGACATTCTAACAGATATGAGGTGATATATCATTGTGGTTTTAATTTGTATCTCTCTGATGGCTATAGATGCTGAACATCTTTTCATATGTCTATGGGCCATTTGTACGTTCTCTTTGGAAAATGTTTATTCAGCTCCTTTGCCCATTTTTTAATTGGATTATTTGTCTTCCTGGTGTTGAGTCATATGAGTACTTTGTATATTTTGGAGATTAAACCCTTGTTTGATGTATCATTGGCAAATATGTTCTCCCATACAGTTGATTCCATTTTCATTTTCATGATGGTTTCTTTAGCCTTTTAATTTGCAGAAGGTTTTTAATTTTATGTAGTCCTATTTGTTTATTTTTCCCTTTCTTTGCCCTAGGAAATACATTGGCAAAAATATTGCTATGTGTGATATCTGAAATTTTACTGCCTATGTTTTCCACTATGACTTTTCTGGTATCACAACTTATATTTAAATATTTTATCCATTTTGAGATTATTCTGCTCTATAGTGTAAGCTGGCAGTCTAGTTTCATTTTTTTTTTTGCATGTACCAGTCCACTTCTACCAAAACCATTTATTAAACAGGCTATTTTTACTCCATTGTATGCTCATGTCCCCTTATTACATTTTAAATGCAATAAAAAGGCAAGGGAACAGATGCTCTCCTAGAGCCTCTATAAGGGTAACAGCCCTGCCAGCACCTTGATTGCAGCTCTGCGAGACTTCTGACTTCCAGAACTGTAAGATAATCAACTTTATGTTGTTTTCAGTCACCGTTGTTTGTAGTAATTTGTTACAGCAGCAATAGGAAACCAATATAACTTCTTTACTAATTAACATTATAAATAGTTATTGTGTTAGCTAATAATTATTCAGTATTTATTACAGGTCAGTTATGAATACTTTAATAATGTATTTACTGTTCACTTACTATTGTGTTCATTGTGAAGTTGAGGAAAGTAAGGCATTAGAATTAAATTAATTGTCTGAGAGCAATGCCATAGAAGGCATTTTGAAGCTCGACCTCCACATTCATAATCATCTTATGATACTCTTTCTAGTCATTTAGGAAACCATAGAAATATTAAAAAATTAAAATAGAAAGTATAATTTCAAAACAGTATGAACAGATTCACACAAAAAGCAAACAAAGAAACCTCCAAAATGAAGTGGAGAAAGCATGATTTCTTTATTTTTTTCAATAAGAAGAGTGAATTTTTTAATTTATTTATTTATTCTTGAGAGAGAGGGAAAAAGAAGGAGAAAGAGAGGGAGAGAAACATTAATGTGTGGTTGCCCCGTATGTTCCCCCAACTGGGGACCTGGCCTGCAATCCAGATATGTGCCCTGACTGGGAATTGAACCAGCAACCATTTGGTGTACAAGCCTGTGCTCAATCCACTGAGCTGCACCAGCCAGGGCATGATTTTTTTAATAAACTGATGATCGATGGAACAAAAAATCCAAAAAATAGACTATGGGAATTGTATAGGTTGAAGATGGACTTTTTCCTAAGACAAATGGATGTTCATTTGAACAAAGATAAAGTTGGACCCAGACCACCATACAATACAGTAAAAAATAAAATCCAAATGGATAAAAATATTAAAACATGAGAGAGAAACATTGATTGGTTGCTTCCCACATGCACCCAGACTGGGATTAAATGTGTAACCTAGGTATGTGCCCTGACTGGGAATTGAACCTGCAACTTTTTGGTTACAGGATGATGCTCCAACCAACTAAGCCACACCATCCAGGGGTCTTCTTACAATTCTGATTTACAAATGTGGATATATTACTCTGGTGGCTCTGAAGATACTCCAGTCATGTCTTCTGCTGCAGGAACTGTAACTTGCTACAGGGTAAAGAAGCTACAGGGTATCATGATGCATGCCATGTGGGCACCACTGTCAGTGATTGCTTCCTAAGTGCTTGGCTTGTCACATGCATGCTTCATATTGTGCAGCTAAAGTAGAAAATCATATATATAGAGAGAGAGGGAATGGTTTGTGCAACATCAATATAAACTGGCAGCCAAAGAGAGTGGACTGGAATGCACATGTGTGAGCAATGAAGACTTCACTGTACTAATCAGTGGGGGTGCTAGACACCATTGAGTGAGCATGTGTACTGTGTGTCTATCACACTCAAAATGACTGAGTAGAGGAACAAATCTGTATCAGATTTTGTGTTAAGCTTGAACAATCCTTCGAATAAACTATCTGGATGATTCAGAAGGCCACAGCTATGGGCAACTGGTGATTGGCAACTTCAAAATGATAGTGTACCCACTCATGTTTCACATCTTGTGCAGTTTTTTTGCAAAACATCAAATCACCCAGGTGACTCAGCCCCTCTACAACCCAGATTTGGTGCCCGTGACCTCTGTTTTTCCCAAAACTAAAATCCCCTTTGAAATGGAAGAGATTTAAGACCATTGATGAGATTCAGGAAAATATGAAGGGGTAGCTGATGGTAAGTGGGAGAACTGTGTGAGGTCCTAAGGTGCCTACTTTGAAGGGGACTGAGGTGTCATTGCCCTACGTACCATGTTTCTTGTATCTTGTATCTTCTTCAATAAATGTCTCTATTTTTCATATTACATGGCTGGATGCCTTCTGAACAGACTATATATTTATATATATATACACATATATATATATATACATATAAACACACACACATATGTACATAGAAACATCTGCTATTATTATTTGCTTTGATAGGTATGTGCACATGTCTGTTGGATGTTTAGGAGTAAGATGGACAGGCTACTAGTTACTTATGTTCAACTTTAGTAGATAATTCCACTTTGCAAAAAAGACTTGAAATCATCCTTTCTTGAACTTACGATGATTTCTAAAACAGCAGTACCTTATCAGGAGTAGTGTTTTGAGGCTATAGCAATGTGTATGTGCTTATAATTGAGCCTATTGATAGTAAACATTTGTATCTCTTTAGAAATGATATCCTCCTTCAAACCAGCAAAATAATTTGTGGAATATATTGTGTTACAAATACCTATTTCTGATTCAGCAGACTGTATGACACACCGAGAATGGGAAAAGCATGATAGAAAAGAAAGAAGAAGATAAAAAGGAGGACAAAAGGATTGATGTAGTCCTTCCTGTTTGGGCATTGCTGCCATAACTTGGGGAAGGATTTTTCCTGAGTGGCTAGTCCAATCACTAACCTAATTCTACTATTGAGGTTTGGACTAGCACCTCATGTAGTATGGGAGAAGCTCTTCTAAAACCAGAATCTAGGATGTCCTGGGACCTTGAACTTTTCAGAGAGCACTTGTGGGAACTTGGACCAGGGATTTCAGAACCTTTTATATTTTCCAATATAAAATATTTCTTAATTTTTTCTTAGATTATGCTGAATTTATTAATTCAATTTTATCAACACGATGCTGATTTTGAGGGCCTTGGAGCTATAATAATGACAAATAGGCAAAATGCAAATCAATTGCCATTGACAACAGACTTTGATTAACATGATGCCAACACCGTAAATTTGAAAATTCCTTAACCTAAAATGAAGCAGTCTTAAAATTTTTGGAAATGTATGATGGCACTTTCAACTGTATAACAATCTACTGGTAGACAATATTCATCATCTGGGAACAAATGTCCCAAGCATCAGAGGAGGGCAAATTACCAGAGAATTGTTTTGATTTCACAAATTGGATCTTGGGACCAATGTGAAGATGCTCTTTCCAATTAGCCTCACTTTCATGACACCAAATCTGTTCCTGGGGAATGGGGTCAGGGCAAGCTGAGCAAAGACCAAGAGCCTGGGCTGGACCTGCGGGTAGTACCTGTGGTCACCATCAGCGATGTGGCTTGAAGTGAATATACTGAATGACAGGTAGAAGCAGAAAAAGGGCAGTCAGCTAAACCTGTGCTGACAAGGAACAGAAGGAATGTCAGCGCTTCTCAGGGAGTGACGTAAGAGACCCTTTCATCTTTGTCGTATTTATAACTACCGGATGCTATATTTAGAAGGAAGATAGGCCTTCCAAAGATGGCTGCTTTACTGTAGGCAGTGTGATTCTCAGCTTCTGTGAAGAGGAGGGAAACTCTCGGATCAGTGGAGGAACAGAGCAAGTGGCCTAGGTTACCGAAACACTTTTGAAAACAGGACATCAAAAATTATAGCAATCATTGAAAAACCAGATGGTAAGGAGACTGCTTCAGGACAAAAGGGGCCCAGGGATCAGCGTGGGGACCAGGGGGGTTGCAGTCCCCAGGCCCGGTGCTCCCGGGTCTGCCTCAAGGCTCCCGGGAGAGCGGAGTCACTGCTCCCTCCCCAGACTGCAGGGGTTGAGCAACACCAGGGGAGACCTTGTGGCTTGAAGGCACAGAGAGGGCAGTTGGACTGGGAAAAAATCACCCAGGGACTGTGAACACCCACCCATAGCCCTGGGAGAAGTGAGTGCCTCCAGCTGGCAGGACTAGGGGTGGCCTGGAAGTGCACCTGCACCCCCAGCCCGGTGGGAGTGTGGATCGGTGGGAAGCCCAGACATCGCAGCCCGGATCCAGGAAAGGGCGTGGGCGTTCTCAGGTTTCTGGAGCCTGTGGTGCTGAACTGTGGAAGCGTGCGCCCCCTTGGGAATCCTGACTCTCGCGTTGTGAACCCAGAAGGGACGCGGCACTTAGTGCATTCCTAGAGCCCAAAACTCAAAAATCTGGTGGATGGGCGCGCCCTTTTACGATCCCCAGAGATGGCACCGTGAATCCCGAAACGTCACGGGTGCTTCCCGAGATCATAGAGCTCACCTCGGTGTAATTTTGTGGAAGGGCAAGTCCCCTTGCAATCCTGGGAACTTGCATCCTGAAACTGAAAAGTCTCAGGAGCCGCAGCAGTGAGCTCTGGAGAGTGTGCTCGGGAGCGCCCAGGGTCCTGTAGGGAAAAGTCAGATTGGCCCTGGGGATAGTACCTGAGAGACTTACTGAGATTTGGCTGGGAAGAGTGATAAGCATTTCAAACGCCCCTCAGCCAGCTGAAGCCAGCAAGATCAGAAAAACTGGTCTGGCCAGTTAGAAACCAACAAGAGGTTGTTTTGTTTTGTTTTGTTTTGTTTTGTTTTGTTTTGTTTTTTGTGGCTGTTGTTGATTGATTTTATCTTGTGTTTTAAGTGACTTTTTATTTTTCAATTCTTATTATTTTTATATCTCTCAATCCCTTATGTTTATCTTCCATTCATCCTAGTATTATTCCTTCCACTCCAAATTTATCTCTCCTGCACTCCATCTTCTGCTTTTTTTTCCCTTTTTTTTGATCTTGCAAGTTATTGCAAATTTGTATTATCTTTTTCTCACTTTTCCGACATTTTTTATTTTAATAATATTTTGGTATTCTTTTTCCTTCTGTATAATCTTCTTTGCTTGGCTGGTTATGTTGCGGAAAAGTCACTCACACGTGGGGAAGAAGATGAAGCACAAACTTTATTTCCCAGGGGCCCAGAGGGTTAAATCTCCAAATTCTGAGCAAATCCAGGTTTGTCACAGTTCCTTTAAATACTTGTTACAAGGCAAAAAGGGGAGGGGGATTCATCTGCTAAAGCAAGGGAGCATACAGAGGCAAAAGCGAAACGAAGGTCAGCATTTCGGCCTCGGGATAACGTTACTTAGCAACATCTGCTAGCCGGCTCCTTACCTAAAAATAACTTTTACTCAGCTTTTGTCCAGGCAAATCTTGCAGGTGTTACAGAGAGCAGAGAGCACTTGTTTCTCAAAGAAGTTACAGAATAGAAACTTTTATGAGACTTTCTTTTCCTGCCACATTCCCCCCTTTGATGCTACACAGCACTGGTGTCTGTTCTAGCATCATTGTTGTAATCTGCATATTCACTCTCCGCTTCCGTTGGCAGTAACCTCCGTAGTCGTGTCTCTGGAGAGTAAGGATCTTGGCGGCAGCTTGTCTGGTCACCGTTGCTTCTATCTGTTGCACTACTGTGCACAGTAAACAGGGTCCTACAGTTAATGCAAGGAAAAGGATGACAAGTGGGCCTAAAATAGGAGCCAAAATAGGAAAAAGGATTGATTGCCACCAGGAGTAGGTTCCGTCGGGAGAGCTGACGCTCTCCAATCTATGGCGAATGTCCTTTAGTTTGCCAATATTCTCCTCCACTATTCCACTTTCGTTGACATAGTAACAGCATTCTTCCTGTAGGAAAAGACAAGTGCCCCCCTTCTCCTCTGTGAGTAAATCTAGCGCCCGCCGATTTTGTCGGGCCACCCGAGCTAGGGAAGTTATTTGCCTCTCTAATGAGGCCATAGATAGTGCAGAGGCCTCCATGGCTTGTTTTAACTCTTCCCAGATCTCCTTAGTGGATTGGAGGCTGACTGGTAGTCCCGAACTCCCCAGTCCCATTCTGATGAGTGAAGTGGCGAAACTTAACCCGATCATCAAGGGGAGGAAGATTGCTCGCTTCTGACGTTCCTGGGCAAGCAGGGTACTTAACTCGCCCGATTGATATAGGATGAGCTGGGGGGCTAAGGCCACGAGATAGCAAAGGGCTGGGATGCTATGATTTACTGACCGGTAGAGAGTCCAGTTACACCAAAAGAAAGTTCCCGGTGGGCTGGTGATGGATCCGGAGGATGGCAATGTCTGATTGCAGGAAACAGGTGGCCCATAGCACTCCAGCGCTTCAATGGATGAGTCCTGGAATAGAGGAACACCCTGGAGAGAAAAGGGTTCTGGGATCTGAGCCTTTGAAACAGTGAGGGGTTGTTGCAGTGGGACCGCAGTCAGTGGTGGCCTGTTAAGATATGCACATAAGAAACAGTCATTGTAACTGTCTGGACTGGTTAGATTAAGTAGCTGCATCCCCTGCTGTATTAGTTTTATCCAAGAGAAAGGTCCTACTGCTTTTTGACCTTCCAAGTTTCTAGTTAGTGTCTTTTCTTGGTCTTCTATGACTGATTGGATGTGATAGATGGTACTTAGAGCAGGGTTTTGTATTTCTCTGACCTTTACAATAAACATGTCTGCAATCGGCCCCCTATGCCACATATTCACATAAAGTTTTCCTTTTACTCCCTTTTCCCAGTCTTTGTCATTAGGGTTACGTATTGGAAAAACTATTTGGTCCCATCTATTCCCTGGGTGATATCGACAACTCTTGTATGGACATCCTCCATACTTGTTTCCCCGCTCTTTGCAATAATCTTCTGTCTGATCCTTTAGCATGCAGAGGGTGGGGGCGACAGCCCACCATCCTTTTAGGGACTCGAGGTCAGTGATTCCGATGGCGAAAAACATGGGTTTGCAGCCAGAGTTGCGGCAGGTCATGTTTCCCACGGTATGGGTTATGACATTATTGTCTTTTTCATAAGTTTCCCTAGCATAGAATCTCCAGACATATGGCTGCTTTAGAGCTAATCCAGATAAAACTTGGGCACAAAATAATATTTCCAGAATTCTGCTAATGGCTATCTGCTAAAAGAAACAGTTTAGATATACAAAATGGAAATCACACAGAAATATGTGGCAGCCAAAAAGAATGTTCAATGAGTCCTTAGTCCTTAGGAGTTTACAGAGACTAGTATTATCCCGAAGATACCTGCCGCCAAGGTCATAGAGGCTAGGAACTCAGCCAGGCATTTGTCCTTGATCTTGGTGTTGGGCTGTGACCTCCCAGACGTCCTGGGCTCCTGAAGTCTCCTTCCATCGTCGCAGCTTCAAGGCCGGTACCCGCTGCTCAGCGGCTTCTTCTCCTGGTCCTTCAGGCCCGGCCGCTGCCTTCACCCGAGAATGGTGGATCCATGGCGTGATTCCTGCAACCTTTAAGGGCAGTAGAGTAGTTAAAAGCACCAAAATGAGGGCCCGTCCACACAGGTTGGAGAGGCCCCTTTTTCCAGTCTTTTACCCATACATACTGCCCTGGAGAGTGTGGGTGTGCTGGCCCCCCTCGGGGTTTAGGTTCAAACCCTAATTGGGCTTCTCCTATCTGGTCTAAGGCCTTTCCTAGCTGTTCTAAGTACCTTCTTTGTCCTATCTCACCTTGTACTGGTAAATTGCTAGGTCCTGTTATTCTCACTATGGGAGTAGGCCTCCCATACACTAACTCATAGGGGGTATACCCTGCCTGGTTTGGGGTGCTTCTAACTCGGAGCAGAGCTATTGGCAACAAGTCTGTCCAGGGCAGCCTGGTCTCTTGGCAGAGATTTGCCAAAGTTTCTTTCAGTGTCCTATTCATTCTTTCCACTTTCCCCACCTCTGGGGCTGGTATGCAGTGTGCAGCTTCCACCTTATATTTAGCAGTCTTGCTAAATCCTGCACCACCTGGGAAATAAAAGCTGGTCTGTTGTCACTTCCTAGGCTTAGAGGTAGTCCATGTCGGGGAATTATTTCCCTTAGTAGAACTCTGGCTACCTCTCTGGCCCTTTAAGTCCTGGTTGGGAATGCTTCGACCCAACCTGAGAAGGTACATATGAGGACAAGCAGGTACTTATATCCCCGGCTTGGTTTAACTTCAGTGAAATCCACCTGCAGGTCTTCTAGGGGTTGAGTCCCCCAGTACTGCATTCCTGGTGGGACCCGACTGTTCCCTACTGCATTGTTCTTTGCACAAGTTACACATCTGGCTGCAACATTGGCACATAGTGCGGCGAGGTTGGGCATGCATAAATACCTTCGGAGCAGGTTTTCTAGGGCTGTTTTTCCTAGATGAGTCAGGGTGTGACAATTCTGGACCACCTGTGCTGCCTGGCTCTGAGGCACATAAATTCGTCCATCAGAGAGCCTCCATAGGCGTTCTGACGTTTTGGATGCCCAATTCTGCCTGGCCCATTGTTCCTCAGCCGGCTGATAGTCTTGAATACTTAATGGGGAACTGAGCAAAGGGCCCACTATAGCCTTTGGGGAGTCTCGTCTTTTAGCGGCAGTCCTAGCAGCCTGATCCTCAAGCCGGTTCCCTACCGCCTTTTCCTTGTTGCCCTTGATGTGTCCCCTGCAGTGTATTACCGCAACCTGAGCCAGACTGCATACAGCCTCCAGGAGCCGGAGGATTTCAGTTTTGTTTATTTCCTTCCCTTTGGCAGTCAGCAGCTCCCTTTCTTTATAGATGGCCCATGTATGTGGAGGGTGGCAAAAGCATACTTGGAGTCAGTGTATATGTTGACCCTCTTTCCTTTACTTAGTTCCAGGGCCCGAATGAGGGCATAACGTTCCGCCCTTTGTGCGGACCACCCGGAGGGCAGAGGCTCTGCCTCGAGGGTTTGGTCCTTTGTAGTTACTGCGTACCCAGCAATCCGCTCTCCCTTCTCAGTTACAGTACTGCTCCCCTCTGTGTACAGGTTGAGGTCCCCCCCCCCTTCCCCCCCGCCAGCCAATGGCTGGTCCTTTAAATCTGGCCGGCTGGCATATATCTGATCCGTGATTTCTTTACAGTATGGTCAGGTTCCCCGGCTTCTGCAGGTAAGAAAGTGTCTGGATTGATTTTGCGCATCACCGTTAGATGTACTCAGGGGTTTTCCTGTATCATCCCCTGGTACTGAGTAAGCCAGGGGTTGGTTAGCCACCGATGTCCCTGCCCCTCAAGGAGGCTGTGTACTGCATGCCGCACGTATAAGCTGATTTCTTGCCCCAGGGTGAGTTTGTCAGCTTCTCGGAGGAGAGAAACAGCGGCCACTAGGGCCCGCAAGCAGGGTGGCCAACCAGCTGCCACGTTGTCCAGTTGCTTAGAGAGGTAGGTACTGGGCGTGGCCACAGTCTGACTTCTTGAGTCAGAACTCCCAAGGCTACTTTCTCCTTTTCATGAACATAAGGAGAGAAAGGCTTATCTGGGTCAGGTAAGCTCAGGGCCAGGGGGCTAACCAGAAGTTCTTTTATTTTTTCAAAAGTGCCCTGTTGCTCTGTTCCCCAATTAGATGGTGCAGTCTCTGCCCCTTTAAGAGCTTGATACAGTGGCTTTGCTATTTCCGCGTACCCTGGGATCCATATTGGACAAAACCCTGTGGCTCCCAAGAACTCCTGGAGCTGTCTCCTGGTCTTTGGGCTGGATTGTTGATTAGTCACGGCCCTCCTTTCAATTCTTAGAGCCCTCTACCCCTGGCTTATTTGGAAACTCAGGTATCAAACCTCCTTCTGACAAAGCTGGGCCTTTCTTTTGGACACCGGGTAGCCTTTTGATGCCAGGAGCTGGAGCAGGGCTCGAGTTCCTTCCTGTCGTAACTCCCTGGCCCTGCCAACAGCAAATCATCCACGTACTGAAGCAGAACAAGACTAGGATGCTGCTCTGAGAAAGGCTTCAGGTCCTGGGCTAATGCTTCAACTGAATTTGGTGGGGGAGTTCTTGAATCCCTGAGGTAGCTGGGTCCAGGTTAACTGGGTCCTAGTGCTGGTGTAGGGATCTTCCCATTCAAATGCAAATATTGGCTGACTCACAGTGGCCCAGTTTCATTGAGCCCATCCTGCTCATTCAGTATCCAAACTTGCCACACTGTGGATCCCAGGGGCTGTGGGAAACACCGGATTCCCCCCTTTCTCCCTTTGCTTCTGGTTTGGGCATTCTCGCTTCCAGTGGCCCTTTTCCTGACAGTAGGCACACTGATCTTTTTCCACTTTAAAATGGCCTTTTTGCCCTTTCTTCTGTGGGCCCTCTGCTGGGGCTGCCAGGGCGGCTGCCAACAGTGCTGCTTTTCTTTTCTGTTTTTCTAAGGCTGCGGTCTCAGCCACTTCTCTATTGTTATAGACTTTGTTTGCCACTTCTGTTAACTGGCTGATGTTCATGCATGCCGGCAAAGCCCTCTAATTTCTACAGCTTTTTGCGGATATTGGGTGCTGACTGAGTCACAAAAGCCATATTAACCATTCGCTGGCTATCTGGACTCTCAGGGTCAAAAGGAGTGTATATTCTGTATGCTTCAGTTAGTCCTTCTAAGAAATCCCCTGGGCTTTCATCTGCCCCTTGCCTTATATTTGAAACCTTAGCCATGTTGGTAGGTTTTCTGGCTCTGGCCCTTGCAGGACGGCCTCCCGATATCAGTCAAGAGCTAATCTCCCTTGCTCTGTATTATGGTCCCAGTCCGGCTGAATTTATGGAGCCTCCGCTCAGGCGTACTGCATGGGATTGACAGTGCCTGCCGGGGCATGGGTTTCAAGATATCGATGGGCCTCCTGCAGAATCTTATGCCTCTCCTCCGTGTTAAATAATGTTAATAGGAGCTGGCGGCAATCATACCAAGTGGGCCGGTGAGTCTGCACTATGGATTCCATTAAATCAATCAGAGCCTGTGGTTTTTCTGAGTATGAGGGTATGTGGTGCTTCCAATTAAGGAGATCAGTGGTAGTGAATGGCTGGTAATAAAACACCACAGGTCCTGGCCTAAATGTCCCATTGTCTGCCACCTGCCCGTGCCCCTGAGCCTCTCTCAGTGGCATCTGATAAGCTTGGTGATGCCTTAGCCGGGTTGCAATTGGCGACGGAGCAGTTTCTGGGAGCCTTCTCGGGGCCTCCCCCTCCCTTTGTGGAGCCTTCTCCGGTGGGGGTGACACTGATGCAGGAGGAGTGTCTAGTCCTAGCAGGGCGGTGGGAAGTCCCCCATATGGCGGTGAAAAGAAGGGTTGGTCATCCTCGGGGTGCCCCTGGTAGATTGGATGTTTTTGGCCCTTCCTAGCCACCAGGATCTGGGTTTGGGGTCCAGACTTCTTCTTCTGCCCGGTAGCGCCTAGACATTTCGGGGCTGCTTTAGCACACTGCTGGAGCCACTTAGGCATGTCCTGAGCTAACTCCTGCCATCTATCTAATCTGGGTGTCCCAGCTTCCCAGTGACTATCAGGTGAACTGCTCTAATTACACTCAGATTAAGGGTGCCCTTAGGGGGCCAGCCTACCCCAAAAGAGGGCCACTCAGAGGTACAGAAAATTTCCAGTTGTCCTGGGTTCATCGAGGGATCTTGTCCTCGAAACCGATCAAAATTCTGAAGCATACAATCTAAGACAGTTGAGGATCCAGCCCCCATGTCCCCCTCCCTTATGACGCAGACAAAGGGTAAGGGGATCTTTCACACGCCTGCCTGGCCTGACCTCTCTCGAGGATCTTAGGTGGTCTTAGCTAGAGGTTTGCCGTGCAGAATCTGGGTTAACAACCGTTATGCCATACGACCGACCCAGGAACTGCAGGCGAGGGCCCAATCAGACTCCGTAAGCTGGCTGGCTCGTAGAGTCACAAACACATTCACACAGACAGGCACACAGACAGCCACACAGAAGTTAACTGTTCCTCCCCCGAGTAGGAGTCCGATGGTCTGGGTCTTGGCCCAGACTCCTGAATTTTCCGGTTGGGAGGTGATCAGCCCCCTCCTCTGGTACCTCCTCAGGTCCCTAGGGCACTCACCGATTCCTGATTGGTGCCTCCAACAGTTCGTGTTTCGTCTCTCCCCTCCGCCAGGGTGTTAGAGCGGTCGGGGACACGGCACAGGAATCTCTGCCCCGAGAAGCCTGGAATCACCAGAGCATGTGGTCCTCCCCTGCAGCAGGGCTCCCCCGCTGACTCCCCCGGTCGCCTTCACTAGAGGCAAAATGCCTGCTTGAGTGAGTGTGCTTCCCAGTCAGGGAACCAAAATGTTGC